GACCAAAATATCAACACAAATAATCAAAAGCAATCATTGGTATGAATGCCATTATTTATTACAGGGCACTGTAAAAAGTGTGTGACAATAAAATCTTCTCCGATCCTCCAAAACTTTCCTTCATGATTTAGGCACTTACTAAATGACTAAAATTTTTGAATGGGTTGTCTTAAATGTCGCCTCCTCCAGGAAGTCTTCCATGAGGTGAGGTGCCCCTCCAACATGCTACCTTGTAGCCTTGTGGTTATCTTTATCATTAATACATCCCACCCTGCCCTGTCTTGTCTTTTTATTAGTTGACCTTTTCCACTAACCATGATGTCTCTGGGGCTGAGGACCATAACTTCGTCATACTTGTCGTGCCAACCCTTAGCAGAGTACCTCACTCATAACAGGGGTTTAATAAACACATGTGAAATGAAGGAACTTCATATTCACCTTTGTATCTTCTCACTTTTCACATAGTGCCTTGAACACTGCAAGGACCAGATAAAAGTATATTACATGAATCAATTTGTGGACAAACTCACTTTTGTATGTGATTGGTTATAAGGATACAAGTCTTAAACCAAATCAACCGCTTGGATGAAGAGAGTAATATGGCAAGACATCTCAGGGACCCTCCACTGTAACTTCCCCTCTCAGGCTATGCCTTTGGTGGGCCCTGGGCCAGCCCCAGTCCTGACAAGGAAGAAATGGCCCGGCAAAGCACTCACTGGAAGATGAATAACAATTTTGCCTTAATTCAAAGCCTGGGGTTTTCCTCGTTTCTCTTTGGGGCTGACTGAGAGGAATCAGTCCGAGCATAATAAAAAATTTAGGGATTTACAGCTCCAAAGATCTCCAATGGTAGTTTGCCTCGCTGTCCCCTGCGGTTCACGTTCAATCCGAATGTGAGTAAAATACATCGTGAGAAATTAAATAAGAAAAAAATAAAACAAACATCAGTTGATAATTTTACTAAATAATAATAAATAAAATAAGGATATATGAAATCACGGCCACTAGCTGCTTCTAAGTAGAAGACAAGAGAGCCCGTGGCTTATGCTAAAACACCCCGCTCCCGCGAGTTGCTGGGGATAAACGGGAGGAAGGGCCGCACATAAGGCATCGCACATAATTGGGAATTAAAAACACATGTTGATGCATTGAGTTTTGCAGTGAGCATCACCTGCCATCGCAGAAACCCTACCATTTCTTGAAGCCATTGAGAGAGGGCTTAGGTCAGAAGTGACACCTGCTGTCAGTCCCCTGGGAGGCCACAAAGGGAAATCGGCCACTCCCTCTTTTCCTGCCTTGTTCGTAAGATGCGCTTTCTTTCCCCCTTATGTGCTTTCCCAGCGCATTATGCTTCTCTCAACTAATCTTCCTTTTTCCCCCCTCATGTTCTTTTGTCCTCCTATACCTAAGACCCAATAATGATACTCATACTGTAAGTACTGCTAAGATGAATTTTCCAGATCCCTGAAGCTTACTCCTTTAAAAGCTAAAATGCATTTTTAAATTACTTTAACCATTTTAACTCTGGGTTTTGAAAATGTGCCATTTGTTCTCTCCAGTTCTTAACAGAGTGTGCACCGCAGCCCCTGACGCTTTCCTGACCCTGCAGGCTTATCGATCTCCGCATCCTCTCAGGAACTTCTGACAAATACAGAACTCTCTTCCCTGCACATATTTCCTATCTCATACTTACAGGTCTAGATCTTTTCTGTCAGTGGGAGCTTTACTTTTCATTGTTGTCCTCATTTCTCACAACTGCCTTCCCCGTACCACCCCCACCCCCCGCTCGCCCCAGTCCCTTATCTGCCCGGGTGGGCAGCAGACAGCCCCACTTGTAGCAAGAATGTGTCAGATAGGATTTTCCTGATAGAATGTTCCCTGGTCTTTGAGCAAGGGTCTGGGGCCCACGCTGCGAGGAAAGTTTGCTAGATTTGTGTCAGTGATTTCAAGAACTCAGAGACCCTTTCTCCTTAATTGTGTCGGTTCGGGACCGCAGAGCAGAGCCAAGTGAAGATAAGTGAAGTACACGGGAGTCGGCCCCCTGGATAGGGGACAGTCCCTTGTATTCAGGTAGAAACAATGTTTCCCTGAAGAGTTTGCGCGCCTGGTTTCAGGCCACACTGTATCCTTGCGATCCTATTATCATTCCTCATTTAAACTTCAGATAAAAAAATGAAACAGAAAAAGGCTGATTTTGGCGAGTGAGATCATCACGTGAAGGCGCTTACTCAGACATCCCCGCGTGACTGTCCTTTCTTCTCCAGGCCTGCGGCTCCGGACCCTCACCGCCCTCGCTGCCCCTAAGCCGCGTGACTGGCCATCATCACGGGCCCACCAGGTCCTTCTCCCCTTCTTAGACACCATTAAGGACAGCACCTTTTCAGCTTCTTAGAGCGGAACCCCGTTGTCATCAGTGGCTCGTCCCTCAGTTTCCCCTTTCAAACCAGGCAATTTCAAGATTTTGGTGCGCATGCTTTATCCCACATCCAAGATGCATTTTAGCTGCTTCTCGCTCGCGCATGTTAAAACTCGAATTCATGTTTCCCAAACATCCCTCTCACCTCCCTCTCCCCAAATCCCTCCCAAACGAGGGTGCCCTACTCTTCTACTGCTGGGCTCTCAGTCCCCACTCTGGAACACTGTCGTTGGTTAACTCTCAAAATACTTCTTGCTTTCATGTGAATGCTATATTTTCACCTTTCATTCTTTTTATGGTATCTCTTACCACCCACCTCCTCCTGTTCAGTCTTTACGTTAGCACTTTCCAGTTTTAAAATGTTCCATACTGCTCTGCCGATAGAATTAAAGAAACATGTTGCAATTCTCGTTTCTCATCTGTCTACTCCCAAGTCCTTTCCCCCATCACATCTTAATCTCTTCAACTACCTCTCAAGAAATTTGCAATTCTAAATGCCTCAGAAGCCATTTCTCCCATCTAATTTACTCAACTATTTTCCTTTTTATATATCTCCCCAAACCTCTAAAAACATAATGGCTGGATTTTCTCTTGTGGTTGTTCCCCACCTCCTCCTGCCCCCTCTTCCTTCCTCTGACTGTCACTGCCAACAGCAGCAGGACTGAACTTTGGAACATTTCATATGGTGCCATGAACTGAGGTAAATAAATCTCTCTCCCTGAACTGTGTAACTCCTTAGTTTCCTCTCACCAGTCCGTTCTCCCACTGCTCCCACAGCTTTCCATTTTGGCCAGTAGAATCCCCATTTTATGGTAAATAAACTCTTTTCTGCCTTCAACTCATTCAGAAGACTTCCCTCGGAAGTATGGGCCTCCCCTAAGAAGGCTGCTGGACTCCTCGAAGGATGGGACTCATTCCCCTACAGGATGGATACCTTAGGGTCAGGAGCTGGGGGCGGCTCACAGGCTCCTCAGAGCCACTAAAAAACCAGCATTTTGCCAGCCTCCGCTAAAAGCCCCTCCTCCTTTCCTGCCCACGACCTCTGACTAGCCTTCCTTCCCCTGCTCCTCACCTCACAGTCCTGTGGCAGATTCACTTAACACAACCTGCTTTCTACATCCTCGACCCCCTCATCTCCAATCTGGACTCCATCTTGGACACACTCATCTCCTATGACTCTTCCCTGACAACTTCGCACCTTTCCTGCTTCCCAAGGCCCTTGCCTCAGCCTATCTGCTCCCTCACTCAGAAAGCACGCCAGTCCTGGCCTCCCGTTTCTCCTAGTTGACTGGCCCATCCTGACTTCTCTTTCTTCCCTACCCAGCTTGGAGTCTGTGCTTGACCTCAGGAACTGCTCTCTTACTAGCACCATCAATCAGCTCCCTACCAGAAAAACTTCAGCTGGACTTCCTGGCACCAACCTAACTTCCAGGGCAGCCTCCTACTTCCTCTGCTCCTGTTCTCCAGCTACCAGGCTCTGGATCCTTCCTTAGATCTCCTGCCGTCTCCACTGAGGTCCTATGGTGCCAGCTCCATTCATCTGCTCCCGGTCTGGCCCACTCCGTTCCCTTCTAAGCTTCCACTCAAAATGAATGAAATTAAAACCTCACATTTCTGTTATAATTTATTACTTTAAAAAATGCTTTTGGATATTTGTGATTTTATCCATAAGACCACCTTTTGTGGGGCAAAAGCTCAGGAATATTACAGCAAAAAAAAAAAAAAAAAATTGAGTTTCATAGAGGTTACATGGCTCACTTAAGCTCTCACAGTCTCCAAAGAATAGAAATGATTGGCCATCCCAATAATCAGAATATATTTTCTTTCCACCACCTGAGACACCTATGTTGTGCCCATTATTCAACGGGCTAGCTGGGGGCGGGGCAGGGGGACCGACACAGGGATCAACAAGAGACATCAAGAGATGAAGGCAGGGGTCACCTCAGGATCAGTTGTCCCGAAAGCAAATATTCAGGTTGTCACTGCTGGCTCAGAAACAAATTCCACTGCAGAGATGCAGAGAAACCCCACACCAGCCAGGCTGCTCTGTGCCCTTCGTTGGGGCCTCCACAACCCAAACCCAACAAATGAAGAGGAGTCATAGCACTGAGCTCAGCGATGGTGAATCAGGGTAAAGAAGAGAGCAATTCGGAATTTACTGAGTGTGGCACTCCCTTCCTGCATAATTAGTGTGCTTCGGAAGAGAAGACTGGTATGTGACATGCTCACTTCCCAACAAAATAAAAGCTAAACACATTGCTCCCCTCCCCATCCTGCATCACCAAGACATCTATGAGGTGATAAAGGCTATAAATGCAATCAGGGGCAAATCCCAGAGGATATATAGATAACAGTAATACTGAACAAAGACGCAGATTAAATTTTTTAAAGATTTTTTGTTTAAATATGTGTCACAAAGCCAAAAGATATCCCTCTACAAATATTTCGGCTTCTTAGGAAAAAAACCTGTTACATACATCTGTATTTGTCTATATCCCTAGTAAAGCCAACATTGTTATCTCCCCTAGGACTGCCCTCCCCCGCCCCAACAAAAACACCACTATATAGCAAAATAATTATTTACCTTATAGAAGATCAAAAAAAGATCATCCAGTTTCCCATGCAAATCACCTGGAGTGCAAATGAAAAAATCACTATTCAGTAGGAAACAAGAAAACACCCAATCCATTACAGAACTTTGAAACTGTCATGCTGTCGATATATTCCCAAAACCCATTGGGGTTTTACCCTATGATGGTACTGACGCAACAGTTTGTTTTCATAGCTCTCTTTTTGTCCCCTTTCCTACGACAGACGGCATCTGATGTCGGACAGCATCTGATGTTCCAATTACCTGTTGGCGCCTACTTTTTACGCAGTGCTTAGCTTCCCTCTAGGGCCAAGCGCTGCATTAAGAGTTTACATGAATTCTCCTATTCAATCCTTACAACAGCTCTATGAGATGGGTATTATTTTCATCATTCTGAGGTTACAAAGGAGGCTCAGAGTAGTTAACTTATGCAAAATTACCCAGCTACCAGGTATCAGAGCTGGAATTCAAACCCAACTTTATCTCACTCCAAACTCAAGCTCTTAGCAATTATTTGGTATTGTTTATGCTATAATCTGGAGGAGACCCGCAATAATATCTGTCAGTTCGCATTAAGTCCCCAGTGCCTCTCCTAGTACCTGATGCATGACAGACACTCGATAAATAAATTTAATTGCTAAATGCACAGCTTTTTAAAGCCATGCATTTAAAGCCACATATTAGGGGCATCTGGGTGGCTCAGTGGGTTAAAGCCTCTGCCTTTGGCTCGGGTCATGATCCCAGGGTCCTGGGATGGAGCCCCACACCTGAGATCGAGCTCTCTGCTCAGCAGGGAGCCTCCTTCCTCCTCTCTCTGCCTGCCCCTCTGCCTACTTGCTTTCTCTGTCTGTCAAATAAATAAATAAAATCTTTTAAAAATATTATTAAAGCCACATATTAGAGAATATGCTCTAGCAACAATATCTAAAAATTTAAAAATTATGAGTTGACATTGTTTTGATGAGACAGTTATAGGAAGTAAAAATGCAAGCATGGCTTTATGGAACTCAGCTAATGAAGGGAAACCATATGAATATATGAAGCCATTAATTAAAAATTAAGAGTGAATATATTAATCAAAAGCCCTATTTGGATAACTATTTCTAGGTAAAATATCTGTGTTTCATAGGCCCTGATCATTAATTTTTTTCTTTGTATTCAACTTGATTACCAGATAGAATTTAATATAGAAATATCTTTCCCCAGTTTGCTTGAAATCCCACAACCCAAATTAACCAAATATACACAACAAAAGACTCTGATTATGAGAATAATAAAATAAAAGTCTTATGTCACCAGCACTTAATTTACAAAATGACTATAATAGTAAGAGCATATCAATGCTATTGTATACTTAAATCTCATTGCTTTCATATGATCTTACTCCAAATCTAAGGAAATAAAAATGGAAGGACTTTATATATTTTGGATTATTTTATTTTCCTAATTTTCCTCAGGGTAACTTGTCTTTCAAGGATTTGGGCAGACAAAATTGTTGCAGCTGGCATGCTAAAAAATGAATTGGTTTCAGCATATTAGGAATTGAGCTACATAGATATTTTTAACTTCTAGATGGACTGCAATAGATAAAACTTGATGTATCACAGAAAGATAGCCACAGAGAGCTATTTCCACTGCAAACAAAAACATGAGTGCAGAATTAGTTATCTTTTATAACATAACTAGAAACTAAAACACCTTCTATGTTGCATGCATGTTGAGAACTACGTAGCAGGTTGAGATGGTCATTTAAAAGAATGCATCTGGAAATTAAAATAAAGGTAAAATTTCATCACACTTTCTCTTCCTCTTCTAGTACTATCTTAAACAGATGTTTTTGAAAATATAGCCCCAGGGGCGCCTGGGTGGCTCAGTGGGTTAAGCCGCTGCCTTCGGCTCGGGTCATGATCTCAGGGTCCTGGGATCGAGCCCCGCATCGGGCTCTCTGCTCAGCATGGAGCCTGCTTCCTCCACTCTCTCTGCCGGCCTCTTTGCCTGCTTGTGATCTCTCTCTGTCAAATAAATAAATAAAATCTTAAAAAAAAAAAAAAATATATATATATATAGCCCCAATTTTGACTTTTAAATGATGATCAAATTTATCTAAGTTTAATGAGGCTATAAAGACCAACGATAATAATTTCTCTGCTAAGGGAACCTATTGGCCTTGGCTTTTCCCTCTAGCAACGGTGCTACATGGAAAAATGTCTGGAAATAAGTGACCAAGATATGGAGATCTTTAAGTAAATGAACTGTCCAATCAATTCATTCCCTAGTCTTTCTCTCGTAATGGAAAATGAAACATCAGTCTGAGAGATGCGTGATGGGAGTTGAGAGAGTAGCAGATATGGGGCTGGCCTAACCCCGGATGCAAAGGACCTGATTTCTGACTCTGACCCTGCTACTAATTAGCTGAGTGAGCCTGGGGGGTGAGGGGTGGGGAATGGGGAGAGTCACCACATAGAAATGCAGGGAAAGAGCAGTACCTGGCTGACTTTCCGTCGAGCATGGGACTCTTGGTCTCAGGGTTGTAAGTTCGAGTCCCACATTGAGTATAGAGATTACTGAAAAACAAAATCTTTAGAAAAAAGAAAAAAAGAAAGAGAGAGAGAGAGAGAGAGGAAAGAATGTAGGGAAGGCAGTACATTTTCCTTTTCCTCTCTGGGCCTCAATTTCATCCACAAGAACAAGTGATAGGCTGGTCTCAGTAAGAACCACTCGGATCTTACACTGTATAATGTTAGGACTCCCTCACCCTCTAATTCATGTGTTCTTCTAGATCTTTTTACCCAAAGATAAATCTACAATGGAAACTGCAGGTATACTGGAAACATGTGGGAGGCGATCTCAGTCTCCGTTTGGCTTACTGTATCTAGCCCTGGCTCCACGGGCTCCGTGGGTGGGCACACGGAGCTTCATGAGCTTCATGCCCACCCCCCCAAGTCTAAAGCTCTGTGAAAAGTAAGAGCCCGTCAGGCCTTGGATAAAAGCCCCCCCTCCCCCACTGAGATGCATCATCTGTCAGGCAGAGGTGCGGCGGCCCATTCGGCTGGAATCGAACTCGTGAAGGTGAGTCAGAAGCTGGAGTCTGGGCACGTGCCCCGTACCGGGTACCAATGCGTCGAGTCCCTACCACCGCTACTAGGCGCTAGCGAGGCAAACGGTTTGACTGGATTGTCAAACCCACTTCTACCTGCCAGCGGAAAAGAAACAGGCTAAAATTGATTTGGAAAATCACAATCACTGTTTTGTAACCTAAGGGCCTAATTAGAAGTTAAGGGAATCGCTATTCCTTCCACGCAGCCCATTCTCAGACAGTTGCAAGCCTGCTGAACACCAACTGTGTTGAATTTCACTGTGTACTGTTTCTGGAAGCAATATCCTGCCAGGCTGGCCTATACGATAACAAAATCTCAAGTCTTGTTATTTAGAAGAACAAGGAACAGATTTCTGGGACATTCCCACTCTTCTAAAAGCTGCAGCGACCAGTTGGAAAAATCTAAAACGGCAGCCAAGGGCAGAGAAGAATTTAATCTCCACCCAGCCTTGGGCTTTTCGCCTGCCAGCATCAGTGGCATGCATGAGGCCCACCTAGGAAAAGGAACACAGAACGAAGATAATGAGAGCTAGACAGAGGGCAGAGAACGCTTATGCCACCCATGGGTGGTTTTCCATATTAAAATGCTGCCTGCCTTTATAAAAAGCTATGAGTTCTTTAATTTCTCACATAATTAATTCCTGCCAGCTGGTATGCAAAACAAAGACAAGATGGGGAACAGTATTATCATGATAGATCGCTCTATATTAACACTTCTCCCTTAATACAGTCCAATTTACACAGTTTTCAAGCTAAGTAAATGAGGTAGAACCAAGACGTTCCTAAATATTAATTCGGCAGCTCCACTCCAAAACTTACCACAGATTGTTATCTCTTTGGTGGGAGAAGTTTTGACTTGAGTGAAGTTCGGCATTTGCTTCAGGACTCTTTTTGTTTCAAAGAGCACCTCTAGGACATAATGCGGGTGAAGAATCTGTGGGTGGGGCGGAGGAAATGCATACAGTGAACTAGTAAGAAAGGCAGGACAGGGTAGAAAGCTGTAAGAGGGGAGCATACGAGCCCATTTCAGGAAGCTGTATTACAGGATAATCTCTAAATGAGTCTCAGATAGATTATTCTAGCACTGTGCCTGGCATACAGGAAGCCCTCACTAGAGATCTGTAAACGGAATGAATGAATGGTTCCTAGGGCATTTATACTTTCCTGTTCTTAACTGACATCGCCCATTCACAGAACGTCTCGATGGTTCTGGGTCCTTAGAGCCCAGGAGACGTGACAGGGAAGAAAAGGAGACTGCCTTGCTCCAGGGAAACAGGCAGACAAAAATAAATCCATAGAAGAGAAGGAAGGACAGAAGAAAGAGAGAGGGAGAGAGCGACTGTGGAAGCGGGGCTCCTTTGCATTTGTTTGGGACATCCTGCCACCTGGAGTGGCAACCAGGTGGTGGCGCTGGCTTCACAGATCTCCCAAGGCAGCCCGAGCAGCCCCAAGGAACCCCTGAGCCAAGAATCCCAGGTGGCTCAATGCTGGGTGTACAGACGTGTGCGTATACAGAACAGCAAGTGCATTTATATACTAGTCTAAATATACAACCTATTCCAAACCCAAATAAACCATTTGCATCACCTCCTATTATGACTATTCCGTTGCCCTCCTCCAGTTACAGTGATGACGACATCATCGTTTGGACAGATTTACTCCGCTTTCTCTGCTGGGCTTTTGTTTGTTTGTTTTAAATCCAGTGTGTTAGTCTCTCTTTTTTAAAAAGTATAAGATATGCCAAATACATAATTCCCAAAGAAACAGAGCCGATGCAAATGTAACAGATGCTAACACCACCTCATGGGTCAGGACTGTTCTCACGACTTGAAAGGGGCTAGCCGAAATCGAGATGTGCCATGAGAGCCAAATACATACTCGTTTTCAAAGACTCGGTGTGTGAAAAAATAAAAAAGTAAAAAGTCTCATTAAAAACTTTAACGTGGACTACATGTCAAAATGATAATAATTTCATCTGTTGGATTAAATAAAGTATTAAAGTTATTTTCCCTTTTTAACATTTTTTAAAGTTTACTTATTTTAGTAATCTTTACTCCCACATATAAATTATATAAATAATTTATATATAATATATAATAATATATATAATAATTATATAAATTATATAAATATAATATAATAGATTTTATTTCCATTGGACACCACTGGTTTAGATTATTAAAGGCTGAGAAGGATCATTTCTACATACTGTTCAGATACTGCTTTACGTATGGGTTTCAGAACAGATGGAATCCTTTGCTCCTTTGGAAAAATCTGGTCTCATGGTATCTTAAAATTTTTATTTGCATAGCTATTAAAATGACAAAACTATTTCCTATCCCACACTCCAAAAACATGATTTAAGTTTAGAGAATTTTCACGATTAAATCTACATTTTTTTTTTTTTGAGAGAGAGAGCAGGGGGAGGGGCAGAGGGAAAGGGAGAGAGAGAAGCTTTTTTAATTAACATATAATGTATTATTTGTTTCAAGGGTACAGGTCTGTGATTCATCCATCTTACACAATTCACAGCACTCACCATAGCACATACCTTCCCCAATGTCTATCACCCAGTCCCCGCACCCTTCTACCCGCCTCTCCTCCAGCAACCTTCAGTTTGTTTCCTGAGATTAAGAGTCTCTTATGGTTTGTCTCCCTCTCTGGTGGGAGAGAATCTTTAAGCAGGCTCCATACCCAGCAGGGAGCCCAATGTAGGACTCAATCCCATGACACTGAGATCATGACCTGAGCAGAATTCAAGAGTAAGGCACTTAACTGACTGAGCCACCTAGGCACCCCTGATTAAGTATACTTGTTAAAGGGGCGCCTGGGTGGCTCAGTGGGTTAAGGCCTCTGCCTTTGGCTCAGGTCATGATCCCAGGGTCCTGGGATCCAGCCCCATGTCTGGCTCTCTGCTCACCAGGGAGCCTGCTTCCCTTCCTCTCTCTCTCTCTGCCTGCCTCTCTGCCTACTTGTGATCTCTGCCT